AAATATATCACATTTTACTATTGATGTAAAGATGTTAGAAACGATACATCTACAGTTCATCCCAAATTGCAACCAGTACCCACTTTTTAATTTTGAACTTTTCTGCTGGTGCACCAATGCAAATCTGTGAATCTTACCTTCCCTAATTTGGACTGACAACATGATACTTCATGGTGGCATTGCTTAATTTGGCTAAGCAACACCCTTCCTCTTATTTCACCTGTTAGAGCAGGACAAATTACACACCCCTCAGCAGTACCACACAAAATCAACGTATGAAGAGGTTTAATCAGACAAAGTAAGGGGAAACATGATGTGCCGGGATTTTAACTGACAGTTTGAAGTTACATAATGGCCCTGTATTGTGCCCTGAGCTTCACAACATCACCCCCAGTGGGAGCTGCATGTGCATAGTGCAGAGAAAATTACATAATCCCGAGCTGGCTTCCCACCTGTGAACATTGGCATTTATTGTGTCTCCTCTGTGTTTTTTCTGCTGTTGTGGAAATTGTTCTGCAAACACTTATGTAACTCTTTGTTTATGTTGTTTTTCAAGAAAACAAGCGAAATGCAATTGGTTCTCAGTCAAAATTACACTATTAACACAAGCTATGATCTTGTTCATGCAATGGTGTAATCTAGACACATGTATAAGGATTTCTGGTTACACTTTAACATGATGTGAACTAGCACATCTGGCACCTAACGTGTACACACAGCCCTTATCAGAGACACTTTATCTTAGACATTTCAAGAGCATGGATTGAGAGAGACAAAAGCACAAAACTAATAAATCATAAAACAAATGATTCATGCTATTTTACTTTCACACTGCACGCCACCTGTAACAGTATTCAGCACAAACAAATTCAGACCAATAGGCGCATTTAGAAAACATAATTCAAATTCAGCCTGTATGTCACAAAGCTGTAATTGTAAAAATGCTAAGTACTAAGAAATAATGTTTTAAATCCACCAGCCAGCAGCTCACTAGTGAGAGTGGTAAAGTCAGTGTGAGTCTGGAACAGAGAATTACTTCTGGCTCTCTATGTCTCATGATCAGAACCATGTGTCCGCCACGTGGAAGGCTCAAGGAAAAACATTTCAATGGCTTTTTGAGGACAAAAAACAGAGGAGTGAGATGAGATCCATCGCATGTTGAGTAACACTCCTTGTTAAAGTGTTTAAGAAATACTGTATGCTGCCATGGATGTAAAGATGCTGTTGACTGCTGGGCTGTTAGAGTTTTATTTATTACTCTCTTCCCCCTTTCCTGTCTCCCTTCAAATGTCCCTATCTAATAAAAAAAGCATAAGAATTGAGAATGAATCTAATTAACTGATAGTAGGGATTGTTTATTTAACCTGGATCACACATTGAAATGTTGATCATCATCACAATTTCCATTGTTTGATTTAAAAATAAATAAAATAAAGATTTTAAAAAAGAGCAAAGAAAAATTCCTGAAAGACAAAATCCAAACTTTCAATAGAGGTGGCTCCAGAGAGTAAAATGATATGAATCAAAGATAATGTAGTTGGTAAACAAATGTTATTTTAACCAAACTTTCATATTACCAGAGTTTGTAGCGCGGTCAGTCTGGATTTACAGTGACAACTGTATCTAAGGAAGGGAAGAGTCCCCTTAGGGTTAGAGTCCCTAAGTGTTAAAGGGTTAGAGTCCCTAAGTAAGGAATCAATGGAGTAAAATAAGCAAAGGTGGGAGACCTGCCCTACCTGCCTTTATTTTCTATTTAACTTTTAAAGTTTCCCTATTCCTTATATGTTTTATGTAAAGCACTTTGAATTACCTTGTTGTTGAAATGTGCTATACAAATAAACTTGCATTGCCTTGCCTATGGACCCCTGTTTGGACCAATCTCTGTTTCCAAAACCACTGAAAAACAAAGGTATCACATATTTGATCCACAAAATACAGGTACATATTTGTACAGATACTTTTGGGGCCCTAAAGGGAAAACTTAGTGATGTCTTTTCTTTTCAGACGTAAAATGGCTGATTTAAAGACAGCACTCACTGTATATCTTGACAAAATATTACTCCAGAAACTCATGTTGGCCCTTGTATATGTTTCTGAGTCAGGGTGTAGCCTTACTTTTGAATTCAATTGGCTCCCGCTCTGCTTCAGATGGGAGGAGGAAGGGAGCCAGTGCAGCGACGCCTGGCAGTGTCTCTGTGTTTAAATCACTTACATCCACATGTTGGCCGTGCTGGTCGGGATATTTTGGAGACTCCTGCCAGGGATCCTTCAGCTGCATCAGCCATAGTGAGAGAGGTTTTGGAAATACTCATATAGATACAAAGAGAGGGAAGCTTGCAAAAGGTTTTACCTTGTAATAAAAAGTCGAGTGACGGTCGACTGTGGGGCTTTTTGTGCAGAAAAATATGATTTTAGAAAGGATTTTGCGTAGATGTTGGACTCTGATAGTGGAATGATGATTGGAAAGTCTTTGAGTTTGTTGCTGTGTCTCACAGCTTCAAGGCAGAGCGCATTGCACTGCTGCAGCTGGAATGGTATCATTTTTTAAATTTATGTTGATGCTGGAGTTTTAAGATCGCACGTTAACTGTTTACTATTTAGTCTCCTTTGAGGTTTATTAAATCTAATTGTACTACATTTAGCTCATAACTGCCGTCAAACTTTATCATGTTTAACACAACATGGATTTAAAGTTGCAGCATGCTTGTGACACAGAAACAATGTCTCTTATCACTCCCTAAACCAATGTGCATACGTCTCCCTGCTGTTCTCCATGGAGACATTAAAAGCGCTGTTTACTCCTGACAAATACGGAGGAGGAGACCCTGGTTCCCATGGAGACACTCATCTGTTTTGTACTGACAGTGATCCAGGTGTTGGAGGAGGTCAGCAGAGTCTGAATAAGTGATGATGAACAGTGAGTTGATTAAGTCGATAAGACACACACACAAACACACATACACACACACACAGCTACACACAAACGTGTGAATGCAACCGCAGACACACACATTAAACATTTAGACTTCTTGCCAAGTTGAAAGAAAAATCTCTAAGTCAAGCTGATCTCATTAGTCAAGCTCCAAGGATCATCTGGACCTCACTCGTGTCCTTTTCACAATGAGCCCCCACAGAGGACTCGTATCTAACAGGAAATATTCCAAAGTACACTAATAATCCTAACAAGTGTGTCAGCAGGCATTTTGTTTTCCTTTCTGTCTACTGTGTCCAGCAGTGGGACCCCTGAGGTGAACCCCCATGGTTCACATCAGTGGGAGAGAGGCAGTTCTTATATTTAATTTGTCAGAGGACAGGTCTGAGGTCTCAAAGGACTGGGCTTGAATCAATATCATGATATAGATTTATTTTTGTTTTTACAACACATTTCATAATAACGCAAATGTACACAAAATCACACATGGACTAATCAAACTGATGGCCAATGCAGTAAATGGTGCTCCACTTTACATCAGATAAAGCTCTTCAAACCTGTTAAACAAAAACTATGGCTCCCGAGTGCAGAGTGGATTAATGGATCACAATATTTTTGATCTGGTGGGTACTCTGCAGCTCCCACCGGAGGATCTGCCTGGATTAATGCTAAGGCTGTTACGATGACAACCTGGGAGTTTCAAATCAGGTCAGAGGGCGCCTTGGCTGGTAGGCTACAGAAAAACCTTTGCTCTAATAAGAGCAGTAAGCGTTGGAAGAAGTATTCAGATGTTTTACTTCAGTTGGAATGAGAAAAATACTCCACTACTATTTGTTTTATTTAAACTCTAAAAGTCAATGGCTTGGTCACTGTCTTCTCAGAGAATAACTGCAGTGGTACTGCAGGCAAAATACTCCTGATCCTTATTAGTTAATTATACAGAGAGAGATAGAAGAGTTAGAGGGCAACAATGACATAAGAAAACAACAAGGAACTTCACCTGTTTTTAAATATCCACGTTATTATCTACAATATGAGCATTAAAGTAACAATCTCCTCAGGGAGGACATAATCCAGTTAACGCTGCCAAAACAAGAAGTCATTGCATCCATTTCTAAGACTGTTAAGTGATTATGTATAGGAGGCCACACAACCATCTATATGGGGAGAGGGGAATCAGGCTTCATTGCTATAGACACTGTGATTGGCACATAATGCAAAACCAGGTACAATGCAGGAAAGACAGTTGTTTTTCTCCAAACAACTGATAATTCAGGTTTGGATTTCTGCAGAGTAAGATAAAGCTGATCTGTACTTGGCTGGCTGTAACTGACACACTTATCTTAAGAGTATGTCCCCTTATTCTGTACTTAAGGACAATTTTGTAGGATTCAACAGGCCACAGACGATACTGGAAGACAGAAATGATTTTAGCAGAAGTTTAGTTTTCTGTTTGATTTTGTACCCACTGATTGATTTTTCTGTGATGCCTGGCAGCTGCACTCTGCTGATTAAAGCAGTTTGAGTTAGAGTTTGGTCCAGCTCCAGATCCAATACTGGACTAAAGAGGGGGGAAGCCCTCAAGTTAAGTGCTGCTCTGTCGATGCACTTAATCAGTCTCAATGTCAAGTTGTTTTACAAAGATCATAAACAATAAAAAGTCACTCTGAATCACTTTTATTGTAGCGTATCCTCAACTTTTATGGGTTATTTGCTGAAATGCAAATAAGAAGGAAATAGATTTGGTGCTGAGGAGTACCAAACATGCCTTCAGTGAATTCCACGTGGAGTAGCATTTAGTTACTTTGGGGGAAATAGGATTTAGCCAATTAGCCTATATTCATTTAAGATGGTTCTTAAAGCTGAGGATAAGGTGTGCAGTAGATCAATGGTCTAATCTGAGGCCATGTTGTAGGTCGCTGTGGTTTGTTGGTTGTATATACACCTTAAATCCACTTATGGTGACTTCAGTCAATTTCTATACCACATGATCTAAGGTCTGCTACAACACCATCTGTTGTGCTGCTGCCACTGCCAGGTGATTGGTTGTCACCTTCTATTTCTTCAGGACCTGTATGCCTCCAGGACTCTGAGGCGTGCGGGGAAAATTGCGGGTGACCCCACCTATCCAGGACACAAACTGTTTCAGACTCTCCCCTCTGGCAGGAGGGTGCGGTCCATCAGGACCAAAACCTCTCGCCACAAGAACAGTTTCTTTCCGATGGCAGTGGGCTGCCTCAACAATGCCTGGGTCCCCACTGTCACTGACTCTCCTGCCCCCCTCCCCAAACACACACACTCACACACACTCCTGACCTCACACTTTACAACAACGCTCAACTGTGCTTTATGCTCATGTTGCGAACTTTTGCGCATACTTGTTTATTGTATTGTAGTATTATTGTATTTTTTTGTATACTTGTAAATTTTTTGATTTCCTTACTTTTTAAATTTTGTATATTTATATTTATATTTATGTTCATGTGTACTTTAAGCACCAGTTTATTTGAAAATGTACCTAGCAATAAACTTTCTGATTCTGATACTGATTCACTGTCTGCTTCGTAAAGAAGACTAAAAACATCTTTTTTCACAAGCTTTTTGTTAGGCTTAAAGTGTGTGGAAATGTGTTTTATTTTAGATTCAGTGTTAAATATTTTTATAATAGTACCTTATTATCTTGTTCCTTTTTTATTGTAATGCCTTCTTATCTTATATGTTGCATATTACAGTCAATTCTTTACTTTATTGGCATGGAGATAGTAAAAAAAGTACACTACATCGGGTGTACAGTCGTAGCAAGACTCAGAACAAACAGATTACCGGCCCTCACAGACAAATAGTCTTCTTGTGTATTTTTAATGCATTTCAGCTTGAATGAGAAACGACATGAGATGTTTACATTTCCAAAGCAAGTATTAAATAAACATGTATATAAAGAGAATAATTAATTAGCAAGAAAACATAGAAAAAACGCATTTTGTGTGTGTGTGTGTGTGTGTGTGTGTGTGTGTGTGTGTGTGTGTGGTTGTGGCATGTTAATACATAATGGGCAGCAAGATTTAAATGTTCCTTCACATTTTAGGAGTTTTATTTGTTTTTCTCCGATTGGTGTTTGGAAAGCAGTGTTGTTGTGAGACTGGTCGGAGTGTGTTGGCTCTTAGTAGACTCTTTTCTGGGCTCAGCTCTTGGGTTTGGAGGACTTTTCAATTGAGGAAGTCTAGGGGGCTGAACTTAAGGTGATTAAAACATGTGAGTGCTCTCTTCTGAAAGTTAATTATCAGTGGGTATCTGCCTAATTCTGCTCTGCAAGCATTTGTTGGTGTTTTTCTGTGTACATGTAAAATGCACATAAAGATTCTGCTGATGCTGTTGTTCTGATGTTTATCAGCTATGATGACTGAGTGGAGCCCATACTTCAACCCTATACAGCACAATGGGCTGGATGATGCAATCAAATATTTTAAGACAAATATTAATTGGAATTTGTAAATGATAAAATATTCTTTTAATTGCATTTAGAGCTCTTTACTGCCATGTTGAAACTCTCTGATGCTGTCATGGTTATATCAAGGTAGGCAAACTCGTACTATGTTCAATTATATAATTATTTTTGCTAAACTTGTATTTGTTCTCCTGACATCTGGGGCGTTTGAAAAATCATGACATTCATTTTCTTTATTTTATGCTAGGGCCCAGTTCTGACAGGACTTTACCTCTATGTCCAGCTGTAGTCCTTGTTCTGTATGAGACAAAAAAGGTCATCATCATTATATATATTGTACTATGAATAAAGCTGGACTTTAATTGCAGCTGTGACAAACACCTCTTTTCCAAATACACTGATTTAAGCATATTGTATACATTTTGCCCCTATGTAGAAGTCTGTAACAAAGCCCTTCATACCAAATAAAGTCAAAAGCGTACTTGTAATCAATAAAACAACTGAATATCTTAACATTTTGTGTTTATTGTACACGTTTGTTAATTAAATTGTGAATATTATTATTCATGGTCTGTAGTGAGGTGTTTTGGGAAGAATCCAATGAGATTTTTACTCAAGATGGATGTTTGTCAAGGAAATTTAGTTTTATTTTATTTTGAATACTACAGAATAATTTACACAGACAGCTGTTGACACAGATGCCATGGTAGTTGCTAGGTCCTGATTTACCCTGACTCTTAATAGGGGAAATGAACCCTTTGCACCAGATGACAGGAAAACATCCTGATATTGAGCAATGTCAATACTGCACCCTGCATCTATGGAGTGCTGCATTTGAGCGTCTGGTTTTTAATGCTGTCCGGACCACAAGCCTTTGTTGGCCAGAGAGATTTTGTCTGTGTTGGCAATTCTTCCCAAGTAAATGAGAAATACGTTTTTTCTTTATGTAATAACTTCTTATCTTAGACCTATACAGTATGTTCTTCACAAGAGGTTTACAATATGCTAAATATGTTATTTCCATTATAAATTCATGGTGTTTGTAAATGTTTTGTCCTGTTCCTTTTGATCTGTTTGTGTGTTTCAGACTTACATTTTCTTTTGTAGTTCTACAATTAATATTAGTCTAACCATTATATTAAACATCTCTGAATAAAACTCATAATTTCATCATCCATCTGCCAGACTCATCTTCAGTAATGTGATTCTTGTCTAACAGTAGGCTAATAATTCATGGTTGTTAATAATAGTTATTCAAACTCTTGATAGGATATAAAAATATAAAATATATTTACTGGTATTCTTGCTTTAATTTGTCACAAACTATCAGTCCAGGTGTTGGGAGTGGATAGTGATCCAAAACTTGTCCTCTGTTGTCCTCTAGTGGTCACACACTGTCACTTTTCACACATTGGCTTGTGCTACAGAATATCTTTACAATATATTATTTAGACTGGCCTGAAGTTTACAACAGACAATTTATTCATCTATTGATTTTCTGAAATTAATGTTTTAAAAAATTCACAGTCTGGAAGGAGACAGTCTGTAAAGTATTTCCCCTTCTTTCAATATTTTCATCAGTACATCCTTAATAGTACTTTTGGTGTGGACAATGTGTCAGTGTCAGTGTCACTGACAGTTATGTGAGTCTCATCACAATGTCAGAACCACAGGACCGTAACTGTGAATATACCGGTGTCACAGCCGGGACTCTCCTCTGCCCTCTCCATATCAGGTTCTCTGGGCGCCACGTGACCCTCACCTGTTCCCGTTCTCTCCTGCCTGCTTATCTCTGTCGGCGGAGAGAGACAAGGGAGAAGAGAAGTTCTGGTGCCTCTCAAGCAGCCGTGTGATGAATGTAGCTCTTCAATGTCAATTTTCATGAACCGACCAATCACAGCCTGGATGGAGCGGGACATTTAAAAATATTGGCAGATAGGTGTCATTTACACTGGGACGCTAGGGACAGGTCAGAATCAGAATGTCTCCATCACTTTTGTTAAAAATGTCCTGAAAAATAGCTTGCAGCGAGAAATGTTAAATAACAAGTGAAACCATGCACAATAACAAAACATGCAATGCAACTGAAATATAGAAGACACAAATGCATTGTCCAAAAGCTGATTACTGCATTATATTCCATTATCCTATATTTTTATATTTTGAATTGTCACCTGCCACATTAATTTTGTTTCCCTTCATATATATAAAGATATTTCCACCATAAATTGGTGGCGAAAAAGTCTCCAGAATGCAGGAAACATTTTAATATTTCCAGGAAGTTGGGCTTGAAAATATTTACACATACATATTGTCTATCCTTGACTGGTAGAAGGGTCTTGAGTCTGAGGTCCGAGTCCATGGGGACTGCATGTTTCCCGCTTGTCTATCTCCCTTTATTCCCTGAAGGATCTTTCTGCTGTGTCCTATATTATAAGGAAGGAATGTGAAAGACTTAGATGAATACATAATTACTGCATTTTTATATAGCTTAGCCCTGTAGATTTTTTTTTATCTAATGCTTTTTTATTGGGAAATACTAAACAGTTGTACCTCTTCAGACCATTCAAATGATTATTGGTTGAACTGCTTGCAACTCATAAACATACTGAAGTCCTGCTTTGTAGTGGCAAAGGGGTCCAAGTAGACATTGCTTCACTTTAAAAGGACACAAAAAATGGTTGGGGATAACGTGTTTAAACAATTATTTGTTCCTATTGCTATTATTGTATTTAACTGTATTATTTGTATTTTTATATATTGCCATGTCATATCCTTTAATTAATTTTAAATTGGTTTTAGTGTCTAGTTTTTAGTATAGTGGTGTATTGTATTGCCTTTGTGGATTTCACTTTTTTAATAAACAAATTTAACAAAAACTTTATTTATTGTCAGACACTCAGCATTTCATACTTTAATTGTGGCAGCTTTCCTGTTTTATCAAAATGGCTGCCTGGTGTTTGAGCAGCAGACACCAGGGTTACCAGATGGTGGCGCTCTCTGCTGCAGAAACAACAGAGAGCGCCACGGTGTGTTGGAAGTGGCACAACGGAGAGAAGTGTGTGTACATACAGTAGATAAAACAGTCGATGAAATCAAGTTGTGTGCGTGCTGATGGGATGGGGGCTCTCTAGAATTTCATGCCAGACATAGGTGGGTAAATAGGCCTATTCTTTGGGAGCTGGGTGAGTCTCTGATGACTGCACTTCTTTAAAGAGGCATGTCGGGACAGGAGCCTTGGTATGAGACATGCCTCCCTGTTTGGATTAGTTTTCTCTTCCCTGAGGACACACATTTCTGTAACAGTCACTGCTATATGTTGGACGATTAAAAACCTCTTTAACGTTTTTCAAAAGTCTGGCAGGTGAAAGATTGTGCATATTCAAGTAAGAATTATTGATACATTTTATTTACAGATCCCTGGTTTACTTAAGAAGATGATGATCACACTGTTTTGACTCTTGCATTGGGGGATGTGTAGTAATGCGTCACTTTGGGGGGGCTTATCTTCTTCTTCTCCCCACCCACACACGCTCATGCTTGTACACACTTGCACATCTGACTACCTTACCTCAGTTCTCAGGCACTGTGAGCTATGACTACAGTAGACCAAAGTAATTGTTGTAAGTTCTGTACTTTATTTGAGTATTTGGAGTATTTTACTCAAAATACTTCTACTCCACTACAAAGTGTACTTTTTACTCCACTACATTTGTCTGACTGCTTTAGTGGCTTGTTACTTTTCAGATTGCAATTTTCCATCCAGTTAAAGCCATGTATCTCCAAATTCGGGGGGAATTTGAGTTTAATTAATTAATTTCTGATAAACTGAAGGATAAACTGAATTAGGCATATGGGTTGAGAAAATGCTCCTACTTTTTAAACAAAGTAAATCCTTTAAAATCCTTGATACATGGTTCTCGCAGGACAACGACACTACAAACATAAGATGTTGTTGTCCCGACAGGTAGCTCAAATTAGCACAACCTTAAATATCAGCAGTAAAATCTTCTACAGAAACATCATCTACAGACCTAATAGTAAAAAACTGACATGGACCATTTTTCTGCAGAAGACGTACTTTGACTTACATTTTGCTGATAATAGGTACATGCTCTTACTTATGTAAAGCATCTGAATAGATTTTCTTCCACGTGTGTGTCTGTTTAAACTCCACCACTAAACTGCTGTTTGTGTCTCTTCTTGTTACACAACAAATAGGACAATAATGAGGGTTTTATTTTACCTAACATGAAAGAATAATAACAATATGATCAATCAATGAAACAGTCCGCAAATTTATACTAAATGAGTAAATGTTGTGATCCGAAGAAATCCCTTGTTCTTAACATATTTTGGCCAATAAAATTTATTTTTGCCATTCATAACGTACAGATACTGTCATCTTTGATGCTGATGTTCATTGTTGAACTATGAAGTATACACTCACTCACTCACTCACTCACTCTCTATCAACCGTTTAATCTGTGTACAGGGTCGCGGGGAATAGGATGTAACATTATACATGAAAATGTAGAAATTATGTATTCATCCAAGTCTTTTACATTGGGCCCTTCCTCCCTTATTATATAGGGCAGAGCAGAGAGATACTGTAGGAAATAATAGGAGAGAGACAAATGGGAAAGATACAGTCCCAATCTGGACTCAAAACAGGGTCTGTTGCATCTACATGGTCAGCATTTAAGCCTCCAGCAGGACCACCTTCACATCACTTGCTTGGTTCAGTATCAATAACAAAAGGGATGCCAAATATTTTTCTTTTGGATCTATGGACCACCAATAAACAGTAGTGTATTTCCCAACAAATATAACCACCAAAGATAACACCAACATACAAATATACATGTTGCAAAACATTAAACAAATCTGGATGACAACTCCTTGCAAACACAGCGTTCTTCCTTGAGCAGAGGCTGGATGGCGTGATTGTCCTAGACATAGTTCTTGCCTGGCTGGCTTGCCGAGGCAGACTGTGGGTAGCGTGGAGGTTTCCCTGAGCCCTTGGTGGAGCAGTTGCAGCAAAGGAAGGCCCCTCCTATAATGAGGAGAGCGGCACTTCCCCATCCAACAAACAGGGCACTTCCGAATTCAAACCTGTGAATAATTCAAACATCACATTGATACTTATGTGGACATTTGGAAAAGACAGAGAAGAGATGGCAGTCCTTAAGTCTAAACACAAGCTGATCATGTTATATTCAGTTAAGTCAGAAAGAGTATGCTTGAAAATTAATAGACTAGAATAGAATTCCACATTTGGGAAATATGCTTATTGACTTTTATTACTGAGAGTTATTAGAGAAGATCAATATCACTCTCATGTCTGTAAGTTAAATATGAAGTTACCACTAGCAGCCAGATAGTTTATCTTAGCATAAAAACGAGCTAGTGGTTTCCCCTTGTTTAGTCTTTATGCAAAGCCAAGCTAACCGGCTGCTGGCAGTAGCTTCATATTTACTGTGTTTGTTTTCCAAATTATTCAGGAGTGGAAAGTAACCAAGTACTACTTAGAATTACTTACAATTCTGCACTTTTTGTTAGATTTTACAAAAAGAATATATGATCAATTTATAAATGTATATATGATGTTGTGCTATAAATTATTAAACTATCCAACAGTATACAAACTAGTTAGTTAGTAATGCCCAGCAAGTACTTTTGCTTTTGTTATTTTAAATAGGTACATTTTACTGTGCTTTTACTTTAGTAAAATCTTAAAGGAAGGACTTTTTACAGAGTGATATTTGCACTTTAACTATCTATAACTATAGAACTACTAAGCCTAGCCTTCTTTTTTCACCACTGAAGTGTTATTATCTAGAACTTACACTATAAGATCAGTAAATGAATGACTGTCATGAGAACAACAGTCTAAAATCTACAGTGATACCCGACAATTGGTGTGACGTTCAGGCTAAAGAGGCAGAGAATGTTGACCTTACTTGGAATTAGTTGGAGTTAATGGGTTGTAGAAGTCCTGCGCTATTCTGTTGCCATACCAAGATGTTCCAACCAGAGAAAGCAGACCTGGAAACCATGAGCAGAAAAAAAACATTTTATATTGTTGTATTGTACAGGTTAAAACATGCAGGAGTGTGACACCCTTATCAAGGCCCATAAATTCAGTACAAGCCACATCATGTTGAAAGGTTGTGTTATTGTGGTCAAAGCAAAACATACAGTAGTGTGGTGTGCCACATCTTCATGGCAAAAAACATCCCTACAAGACAGATGATTTTCAGGCTTTATATGTTCATTGCATGTGTGTGTGTGAACTGAATGGACTCTAACCAGCAATAATGAAGATGACCCCTCCAGCTAGAGCCACTTTGTCCTTCTGCTCCGGTTGTTCTGCCATACAGGTTGTGCACCTCATGCCCACCATCTCCACCAAGATAGAAATAAAGCTCAGCAAGATGGCGCACAGCATCAGCCCTCGTGTGCCCTGTATAATCCCTGGAGACAAAGACATGGCATCACATGGATTTCTAAAGTTTTTATTTATTTATTTAATTTGACTTTTGACCTTGGAATGTTGAGTAGTTGGCCATAGGCCTACTTCCGGTGTTCAAATCTCACCAGGATTTATTCCCCTGGGTCATCCCTACTCTTACTTCCTCTATGCTTTCTAAGCATACACATTTAAAAACAAACTGTGACTGATAACACTTACCTATTTCTAATGTATCTAAAATAAAAGCTTAAACAAAATGTAAATCATCAAGCAAGCAATTATGTATCTCTTCATTCACTAAATCTCAGGTTTCTTTTTCTTGTTTACAACAGGCACAAAACAGGTGAATGCAGACGACATGAGTCACATCCAGCCTGAAGTGTACCTATTCTAAATGTTCCCAGATTTTTAAATCTGATCATCCTGGTGTCAGCCTTTTATGATATAGAAATTAAAAATAATTGTACACATATATATTTACATTTAAAATCGAACACTGGGCAAAACTTCTATACCTTTTGAACTGATTTCAAAGGAGAAGTTTCTTTTTGATCAAACAGCCGTTGGTATTTGACAGACATGTCTTTGCACGTCTTACAGGGAGAGAAGAGGGCACTTTCTTACACCTCTAGAAAAGTTTGAATGACCAGACAGATTTACACATTCCTGTTTTACACATTCCTGTTTTTACAGCTCATGAACCTTAAACCTCAGAAATTGAAAACATTTTCACTAATTCATCATTTCAAATTCATAGTCACTTTTGAAAAATGTCTAAGAAATGCATCATGGTCCATTTTCTTCCCACACCCATATTTTTTTGTAGGTAAAGAAATTTAGGACATAAATTATACCGTAATTGCTATATGCTGTGTCTGACATGGTATAATATGATGAGTAAAAGAAATCTTATAAAAGGTGTAATGAAAACATATGTTAAACAACATTACCTGGTAGTTGGAGAAGTGAATCATACACTTTACATTGAATTTGACCAGTGCTCTGTGATGCACAGGTCTTCCAAAGCCCTTCATACAGCGCCTGAGCTGTGATGATATTGTCTCCTGCGTAGGACGAAGCTTTCCATTCCACCATGCATGTGGATGCTATCGAGCCTATGAAGCCCAGGAAGGCCAGCGTGAAGCCGAGAAGCTGTATACCCGAATTGGCCATCGTTTAACTTCAGAAAGTAAAAGATGGTGATGATGAAGGTGTGGAAAAAGTTCCAAAAGACTTAAAAATTCCAAAAACTTTCTTGATGTAGTTCCTGGTGCCTTTTGGGGTAGTGGCTCTGATCCCAAAAAGTGCTGCCTACCTGTGCATCCTCAAGGAATAACCTGGAGGAGAGGGAGGATCCAGGAATACCAGCCCCTCAGACCGAGGTTAGGAGGTTAGGAGCGACCCCTAGTGATGGTCTCCTGCAACAAGTCCAACTGCTCCTGAACCTCCAGCCTTAAAATATGGAAAATACACAGCTGTGTATTTGTGTAACAGGTACGTACATTCAAACACATTAAGACAACACAAGTTTCACATTATGTATTTACACTTGTGTGAGTGTGCTGTACTTTAGTTAAATATATGTTCCATTATTATATAAATTTAAAAAAGAATAAAAAACTATATCTCTTTATTATTATTTAGAATGTAAGATTTACACAACGTGGGCTTGGAATAATTCACAATACAAACTTCATTTGGAAACACTACCTTCACATCAAGCATTCGAGCACCACATAAAAAATATAAATATATTTATATAAAAAAATATTTTGGGAATAATTTTAAACAGCCAGTCTCTCCCCTCATGGCTCTCTGGTCATATGTTTTTCTGCTGAACTGTTTGTGAATGTTTATATAATAATTTTATATGATATATGTGTTACTCTGCACTGCTGCTTTGATCACATCTCTCTTTTTAAATAATAAATAAATAAATATTCATTATACATAAATAAATAGTAGTAGTAGTAGCAGTATTAGTGGTATTTGTTATTTCTGACGGACATCCAAAAAACAAATAACTGGAAAGCACATTTTCTTCTATTTGTTTTGTTTTGGTAAACAGTGACTCATTTCTGGCAGAAGATATTTGCTGAAACTAACTTTTTTTTTTTTTTTTCTACATCTTATGTATTACAGCAACATATAAAAATCTAAGATATTCTACTCCATGAGCTGATTTGAGGAACTACAGGATTGTCCACTTTTTTGTTGAGAGCAGATGAAACCATGTCAGGAGCTGGCCACTGACCAAAGGTTTTGTCTTGCCTAATTCAGGCTTGTTGTCATTTGCACTTTGTGGGAGCTGGCTCGTAGATCCACAAGGAATTTTGTTTCAATCCTACAGTATCCCTGTGACACAGAGGTATGTTGAATTTCATATATTTAAATATAAAAATACACCTGGAATGAATCTCTCTAGGAATAAATGGCAGCGATACAAAAACAAACGTGTATAATACAGGCATTTCTGTTCTTGAATCAAAGCAATGTCAAAATTGATTTCCTGTTAATTCATGCAAGCTTTCTTCATGTTTTGACAGTAAAAAATGGAAAAAGAATTGGGCCTGATTCTGTTTCTGGTGCTGCTTCTCTGTCACAAGGGCAACACAGAGTCTCAAACCTCTTGTCCATACAAATGCCATTGTTTCACTCCAGTCCAAGTACTGTGTGCTGATGAACGCATGGCATCTTTACCCAGGAACATGTCCAGTCAGGTCAAGGACTTCATTATAATGACATCATCTCTGATGTACCTGTTCCCCCATACTTTAAAGGAGAGCCCTCAACTTACCAAGCTTATCTTCCTAAATAATGCACTGCAAAGTATCAACTCTCAGGCTTTTGAACATCTGGCTGAGCTGCAGGAGCTGGAAATCAGTGGGAACCCCTGGCTGGAGCATTTATTTCTGGGGACTTTTTCAAAGCAGGGAAACTTGACTAAATTGCTGCTGAACTTCAACAGGCTCAAGACTGTGCTTCCTGGCATGTTTGACTCCCTTAAACAGCTAGAAACTCTGCAGATGAAGGGCAACATCATATCAGATCTCCCTACATTTCTATTCCTGAACCTCCACAGTCTGCGTGTCTTGGATTTGTCCCAAAATAAGCTTGAAGGAGTTAAAAAGGAGATGTTTTCTGGTCTGGCAAGACTGGAGGTCCTGAAAATGAACTATAACCTCATCAGCAATCTTGCATCTGACACATTCCACAATATTTCTCAGCTGACAGAGCTTCACTTGGAGGGGAATAAGATATCAGAGCTCGCTGACAATATCTTCTTTGTGTTAACCAAACTGAAGGTGCTGAACCTCCGAGGGAACCTTCTTAGAACCTTCAGTAATAAAGTGTTTGGATTCAAGGCCACAAATTTGAAGGAGCTGAACCTAAAAGGCAACAGACTAACTGAGCTGACCTCTCTAAGCAGTTTCACATCTCTTACTGACCTTATCTTGTCCTCTAACCAGCTCTCCACCCTTCCTGAAGACATTTTCAGAAATGTTACAGCCCTGGAGAATCTGGACCTGTCTGAAAACCAGCTCACTTTGCTGCCCGAAAGGATCTTTAATGATCTATTTATCATCAAGGCAATCCACCTTCAGAAGAACAACCTGAGCATGGTGGACGCCAAACTTTTTGAGGACCAGGACTTCATTCAGCAGCTCTACCTGTCTGACAACCAGCTGGAAACTCTCCCACCGGGCCTTTTAGACTCTTTTGTCATCCAGCACACAGTAAGACTGCATGGAAACCCCTGGAAATGTGACTGCCATATGTGGTATCTGCATGACTGGGTGCTGAGAAACAGCCAAGACATAGAGATGCTTGACAGGATGCTCTGCAAGAGCCCCGGCTTTCTGAGAGGACGGCCAGTCATCTCCGTCGACAGGGACCAACTGGTGTGTCGTTTGTCTAAAGATAAGATGCATGATCTCAGCAGCTGTAGCCTGCAAGCTTCCAGAGACACTGTGACCATCAATTGTAATGTGGACCAGTGTTCTCCACTGACAGTGAAGGTACAGTTTCAGGGTGATGACGGCAGTATTAAGGAGCATATTTTGAAAAATGAGCTTGAACATTTTCAATGTAGCAATGAGGCAACAACCGAGAGTCTCCATTGAGTAGTACTCCCTGTTAATTAGACTTTGTTCTTTGTGCAAATATATCCTCATGCATTTGGTCTTTCTTCACACAAAGAGTCACATCATATGTTCTTACTGTCACAGTCAATACTGTAAACAAACCTCTAACTCAGCAGCTGATAACCAGTTTACAGCCATCGTGCTGAATGATAAGAGGGGTGGATGAACCCTTTTTTTGTGAAGTTCAAAGTTCAACCCATTACTTTTTAAGATCCCCTCACTGCTAAAAGGAACTATGAGTAACATTTTAATCATCTGCTAATATGTGTTTAATCTCCAGCAGATGCATATGGTGCCTTTGTTTAAGTACATAGGCAGTGCTTGACTGTCTTCAGATGTCTTGATAACCACTAGGCTGAATTCATAGGTTGAAAATCTTGTCAAAATGAACATCATCAGGACAACAAGTGCAGAATACTAAGTAGTGTTTGAACATGCCCCATTTATTTTACAGTAAGACGTTTTGAAACAGCTGCCCATGTAAAATGTCAATAAAATGTAGTTTTTGCTTCAAATTATTAGTTTGAATCATAGGTTTGAATTCAACACGTTGAAAGGGCGGGAAATAGTAGTTTGTCCTTAACACGGCGGTGAAAGAAGTATTCAGTATTTAGATCCTTCACTTAAAGGTTCAGTGTGTAAGTTTTAGAGGCATCTAGTGGTGAGGGTTACAAAGTGCAAGCAGGGGCTCTCTCACCGCTCACCCCTCCATTTACAAACGCAGAGGGGAAGCTGTGGTGGCCTACAGGCTCTGTCTGCTTTGCTCTGTCTGCTCGTGCTAAACAATACGTTTGGTCCTCCATTGGTCCTGTCCGTCTCCTCTTACTTCTAACAAACCAGACAATTACTACTACTTCTTCTTCTTCATACGTATTCAATGTAGAAACGAAACAAGCTCTGTAGAGCAGTTTGTCCTTTTGGGCTACTGTAGAAACATGGCGGCGCAACATGGTAACTTCTATGGAAGGGGGCCCACGGTGTGTGTAGATAGAAATTACTCATTCTAAGGTGATAAAAACATGACAGTTCATTATATAAGGTCTTTATACACCACTGAAAACATAGTTATGTAGGGCCTGTATGAAATTGCATTTCTGTCTATAGATCCTCCTAAATATTACAAACTGGACCTTTAGGTAAAAGTGTCCATACCACAATGTAAAAATGTTACTTGAGTAAAAGTTCAGAAGTACTATCACTAGACTACATAAGTAGCCAAGTATGGATTAATATTATTAGTGATGCATTAATGTGTACAGTATCCAGAATTTTCACATTTTTATATACTGTCGGGTAGTTTAACCTATAGTTCATCATTACTTTTGTATGTAAAATCATAATCTGCAAAGTAATATTATATATATAATAATTCATATAGTTATACACATGTTGTGCAGTAAAATGTGCAATATATCCCTAAATGCAGTGGTAATTTGGTATAAAACTATAGTCTCTATAGTAATTACCTCAAAATTGTACTTTTTGTCCAGTTTTTTAATAAATATACTTACATTTCCCCACAAGCTTTGCACATATATATTGGTAATTTATACAGGATTGTAGTGAACCATCTGTCATCTAGGGATTTCACAAGTCCTCCTCTGATCACTCCACTGCTCCTGAACACTGGTGAAGGATGATAAAGAGTGAGGGAGGAGGGAAGCCTCGACACAACAAGGCACACAGATGGCCACACCTTGAATACAGCACTTTAACCCAGGGTTAATAAGGGTCAAAGGCCAGGGGGTCGATTGGATCCTCTGTCCGAGTTGAATGACATCACAATTCAAATGACAAAAAAGTTGTGGCTGTCTTCCTTCCAAAGTTTGGAGGGATGGCCTTCAGTTGGAGGTAATCCTCACTTGACCAAAACTATAGGATAAACAGAACATTTAATGTAGAGCGTTGTTAGCTAATGAGCAGCGAGACATTTGGAAGTCGTTAAATGCATGTCTTTATCCAGTGAGCGTGCTGGGGCCCATAATATTATAACAATATATAAAATAATATTGTAATCAAAAATAATAAAATAAACAGCTAAAAGAAGAGACAAATGTGATATGTCACATCCAAACAAACTTTTAACTATATAAATCTACTACTTATTGTGAGGGAATTCTATAGTTTTGCTTGATAGAGTTTGAAATGCAAACTTCCATCACACATTTCTGTATTCATCTATAACCACTTCAAATACCTTTCAAAGTTATACATATAGCTGCTCTAACTAGAATTTTGATATTATTAACACTTGAAGATATAACTAGTATATTTTACATACTATATAGTTACAGTGACAAACCCACAAAGAGTTATCTCCCTATTCTACAGTGTCCCTTGGCTCTATTGAGCATTTTAGCTTCTCCTGGCTTGTTGTTTAGTTTGTTTAGCCCACAACTTCACTATTTTCACTCTCAGTGCTCTCATTAATTTTGTTTCCAGTCACAAGAGGCAGCTGTTTTCAGTAAAAAAAAAAATGTAGCGCTGATAAACCCACTGTACTACACTACAATGTTGTGGTTACAACTTGTTGTGTTGCCCCTCCTGGCCAAAAATCAACTAAAGGGTTTACCTTCTTAATATGTAGACAAAAGAAAACCCTTTCTGGAATTTATGATATTGCATTCAGGATATTCTGTATCTTTAAGTTAGGCTAAATAATATTAAATGTTAAAAATCCAAGTGCTACTCAGTTAGATAAAATAAAAATACATTAGGTGTTTCATGGATCCTTTCATAGTCATTGGGCCACAATTGTGCTCAGTTTAATCAAAGGTTCTGTGGGTTGTAGCAAAACATAGTTTCAGTGGCTAATAGAGCTATCTTTAATTGCAAATCCCTGTCAGCCTCCATCACTGTCACTTACTCTCAAACTAACAGCAGAAGGGTCTGAGCACTGTCCTGAGGCACAATGAATAGCAGCTCTTAACCCACACGGTCAGATCCCATCTCTCTGCCCTGCTTAGTGAGCAGCTAGCGTTGGACACCACACTCCACACAGCAGATCTTCAGACAGGAGAGGAGAGAAACAGAGGGGTGCAGACATTATCTGGTGAGACACAACATGTCCAAAACAACACAAAGCACTGGGGGGTTTCCCACAGAGTTTAGACGGCCGGTTAGGAGGGAGGTGGCGAGGGCAGGGCAGAGTCCTCGGGACAAAGGCCAGAGGTCATTTGAGACTCATGGGGGAATATTTCAAGAGGAGAGATTTTGATCTGAAAATGTAAACTCAGATCAGTCTGCTATGTATGTGTGTATCACATATTTTAGCATTAATAATAGCATACTGAATCAATAACAAGGGACATGTGTCTAAATCTTGAGGAAAAATAATTAATTGAGAAATTATCTCTACTTTACATATCAAGCTCAATGGGTTTTTTTCCAGCTTCATTTAAATGAGCTCAGTTAGTCGTGAAATGATAACCAACACCACTTGCTATTAAATGGGAAGGTGTCTATTAGATCGTCTCTCCCAGGCTATGAGAGGGTGATACACATCCTCCATGACACAATGACCTAAAGATCTCAAGAACACAAATAGGCCATTTTGCACTCAAAATGTGAGCCTTGCTTACAAACAAAGGTCAATATTTACCCCTCAGTGCACTGAGACCCCCGGCTGGAGACTAAATTGGAGTTGCTGACCAAATTAAGAACAGCTGACCTGATGTGGGTGTTAAGTGGACGCAGAGATGTCACAAGAATGGTAATCTTTTAGCATACTAGTACACTGGCTTTTGTCTTGTCCGTCCCTATTGGAGAATAACAAGAGGCTATAAGCTCCTTATCATGACATTACAATTATCGAAGGACGAATCTGGAACTATGGCCCTGTGGACCCTGCTCTCATACGACTAGCCTTGTTTTGTTTCCAGCTCCCGAGATAGAGAGGTTTTATTATACATGCATGCAGTCCTTCATTGTATAGTAAAGAGTCACTGCAAAACCTAGCAGTTTGTTGCTACAAACAATTGAAATACCTCCCACACTCTAACTTCCAGCAGCAGAAGTAATTTCTGAAGAGGCCATTGTTTCACAATGGAAAGACACACTCAAATGTGCACTTCAGAAATTATGGTTCAGAAAAGCACAGCTAAGCAGCATCATTCACCTAATGTTTTAAGAATACCGTATGTAAGCGTGCCATGTCCTGGTTCCAGGTTTTAAGAGCTCCCTGAAGAAAAAAAGATCAAGCTGAAGACAAAGCAAGTTGTTCAAGAGGAGAAAAAACACAAGCCAAGGGGATTTATAACAAAATAATTTGGAGCCTAAAAGTTGTCCCAAAGTCTTTGATTAGTTCTGATCTATAAAGTATTGATACATTATTTATTACACATTAATTAAACCAACTTATAAACCCTCTATAAAGTATGTTTTAGGTATCAAAACAACACAACGCTGTAAAAAGATGTGCTTTCTTAGAACTCTAAAGATGATTCACGTTTATTTCAAATGGAGAAAATAGTAGTTCAGACAAAACTCTAAAGTGGCTGTTGCATTCGCTGGCATCATCTGCTTCATTCATGCTTCACAATCACTGGCTCATTCATCAGCTGTTTGGTTCTCAGCTGACTAGTGATGTCCAGTGTCCTCACTAGGACTTAATGTTTGCTGCTGCAGCTCCCCCCACCACCATAACCAAACAGGTTGTCAGAAAAAACTATAACCACGAATGTTTGTGGTAGAGGCCAGGCACTCAGCTTGCAAAAATACAATCTGACAAAACATAACACAAGTGTTGCTGTTGTCAGTGGTAATAAAATATTCTTATTATATATTATCTTATTATATTTTAGGTGGATGAGTGTGCGGTCTTTTCCTCAAACTGTTTACAACCTTTCTGATCATCTGGCAGGTTCTAAACTATTGTAAAAAGATATAAAACAGCTATAAAAACAATGGACACACAAAAGTAAAACCCAAATGGAATAAAATAGAATAATACTTTTGGCTTCCTTTTTATTCTTCCAAACTGAGTTGATTGCCTCGACATAGTTTGTTAGTTCGTCTTGCCATGCCAAAAATTTTAAGGGGGGTAATTAGAGAATCTGTATTATCGGATGTCTTACTTTGAAGTGACACCTGCAGAGAAAGTGTATCTTTATGGTCATCTTTATAAGCCTTCATGGGCAGAGAAAACCAGACCTCCACTCCCCCTCCAGCCAACATCTCCTTTGAAGATGCGACGACTTGTGGTGTAGCACCAGAGTTACTTGGCTTTAATGGTCACACCATCATCACTCTGTGTGGGTCCAAAGTAATAAATTTCCCACTTCCACTGTTATCGTGTCATGCTGATGCTAAATTCAGCCCCGGAAGCTACACTTCCATCAGTATGTTGGTGAGTTTTCCAAAAACAACCAGCTAAATCAAAAAGGGATGAATTGGAGTGAAGGGACAAAGAGCATTGTTCATTCACCATTGATATCGAGTGCATAATCTATTCATTAGCCTTGATGTGAACCACCGCTGGCTACTTCGACCCCCGTCAAGCACCATAACAACCCTAAGAACAATAATATGCCAATTCACCCAAAGGCGGAGGCAGTGAAGGTTTCCGGTGAGTGTCAGGGGGAGACAAGCGGGGAACCCTGTCACTGTGTTTGTGAGGAGAGGCCATCAATCATGGAGCACGGCAAAGGGGCTGGCCCTTTGCTGCTCCATGCTTACTATTCTCTGCTTTACAAGGTTTGGGCAAATACTACATGAAACTGGGGGTTTTGATTAGGGAGGGGCAGGGAGAGGGGATGAGAAACAATTAGACAAAAGATGCAAGGAGGGGACCAACACTTACAAACACGTAAACAGTACAAATTCCCTCAAGAATGGCTGTCATGTGTTGAAGCGCCTCTCTCAAACCCATCCAAGTTTTCCATCACATAAAGGTACGGATAGGAGCAACCTGTCAGCACTTTACAGTCTCTCTTATCTGAAGCGAACTGCCTGGCCTAAGGAGCTCTCAAAAAGCCTTTAAGACCAGGACCTTTGGGAGATGGCAACAATAAGCCTTCTTTAGCACAGTGAAAGTGACAGCATGCCCCCCCCCCCTACTCCCAGCCATTAAATCTCTTCCTGGATAAACAAGTGGAAAGCCCTTTATAAAGATGGAGAGGGTCACAAAGAGAAGAGCCTTTGAGCCACTGAGGGGCCCGTCATTGTTTTTGTGTTTCGGAGGGTCTTCTCAATGATGGGAGGGGGAGCTCTGTTTTTGTCTTTCAGTCCTCCTTACTGCCAGTCGTCTCTCAGCTGTGCCAAAACAGAGATGTAAACTTAATTGACTGTATTATTTGCACAAAGTGAGGAGTTTTAATAACTTAGTGACAGAGACATGATTTGATATACATTTCCAATGATGTCGATGTTGAAATGCTGACACTATTCATAGCATTTGCTCCTGAATAGGTTGCCACATACAAACAGTATATACTCTTAAGTGTAGAATATTTTGCACAACACATATATTGAGAAACAAAGTGGTTACTGCTGCATTTATTTCTGTTATGACGTAATCCCTTAAAATCCATGAATCTAATTGGGAACAACCAAATGGTCATGGATTATGTGAGTGTGTTTGCCTCTGGAGGTGCCACTGTTTGATGCTGTCAAAGGGAGGCCCTGTCTTCTGGTGATGAGCTGCCAGGTCTGTTGATGGGTTGCCAGATTCAGGGCAACATGCTGTTGGAGCTGCGTTGTCTTTGGAGTGTGAATGAGGGGCACCTGTGACCTCTGGTCACACTCTGCTTGTGTCCTACTGTGTGAGCACCACGCTCAGGACGCACGCTGGGACTGTCAACTCTTCAACTGTCCACTAAATGGACAAGGATTGGACTGGCTCTGTGGGGCTGCTGCTGATAAGCTATTGTGCAAACTTGTGCTTATATCATCTAATCATTTAAAATCAGCTTTGTCAAAAGACTGAATTGTTAAATGAAAATCCGTTCTCTCTCTTCTAGTGGCAGATAATGCAGAGAAGACACCTCAAAAAGTAACAACATGTTCTTAATCCTTGAGTAATACAAGTATCTTATTTAGTCTGGTCTTTCTTTAGCCCTGTCCTTAGGTTCCCGATCATGCTGAATCTATTTCAGCACGATTTACCATCTGGCAGGAGCACAGGCGTGTGTCAGCAGACCTTGCCCCACCCGCCTACACTGACGGCACGCCTCTTGGGCTCAACACGACCTCTCAGGTTCCTTACCTCATTAGAGAGGTATTTATTTCCAGCCAGAAAGCAGGTTCCCTGTGACTGCAAAAGGGATGATCAGGTGTGGACAAGGCAGGGGGGGGACTATATTTAAACGGCGGCTGTACAAGGGACATTAGTTGAAAGATGGACCTCAGCATGACAACCTGAGGTGTTTTTGGGGGAAGAGAAATGACAAAAACGCCATTGCAGCAAATAATGTAGTAAACATCATATAAACATTTTATTAATCTCAAAAAATACAGTGCTTTTTCAAGAGTTTTTCTTTGACCTCCTGATGCAATTGAAATGTGCCATATCAAAAACAGAGAAAATCACATAATATCCTAATGTCCATATAAAAAAACGTGTGTAAACATCCCTCTCAAGAAGGATCTGAAACCATTTACAAAATGTACAAAAATATGTTTCATTGTGTGATAGTCCTTAAGCTGATTTCCTACCACGGTCTCCACACAGAGTCTGAGGTGACCGGAGGTGCAGCAGGTGACATGTGATGGCTGTTTTGTGCACCCAGAGGCACGAGAGCTGCACTGGGAACAAGAAAAGCAAACTGTCCATCCGGTGTGGGCATAACCTGGAAGCCACCGTACAGCTTCACTGCTTCTGAGGAGACGGGCATCGCTGAGCCACTTTTGAAAGGCATCTGTGGAGCAGAAGCAGCTGGGAGCTGTGTACCAGTCTGTCCAAGTCCCAGTGCACCTGGGTGAGGTGTATAGAAGTTCACAGCATTGATTTGGGTCACGCAAGCCGCCAGGTGGCTGAGGAGGCGAGTCCTCACCTCTGTGTTCACCCCTTCACAAGTGGACAGGAAACGAGTGACCTCTCCTACACACTCACTGAACCCGGCTCTGTATTTACCCAGAATGGATGGGTCTGTGTTCACAGCAGCTGGAGAGGAAAATACATAAATTAACCCATAGCCTATAGATAGATAGATAGATAGATAGATAGATAGATAATAGATAGATAATAATAGCCTACAGTTAAGAGAAGAATTTATGAATATAATAATAATGATAATAATAATTGAATGATTGATTGACTAATTTAAATAATTAAAAACGTATTTTATTTATGCAGTTGAGGCATTGTGAAATCAATTCTTAAGGACAAGCACGCCATGAGTGGACCATGGAAACATGTTTACCATCTTAAGTTAGACATCCAAGAATTACTGCATGCGCGCAGATCAACATGGTCAGTCCAGAAACTGTATTTACATACCAGTCATCTGAAGTCGCTGCAGGTTCCTGAGGTGCTTCACAGTCATCTCAAGGATGTCTGCCTTCTCCAGTTTGGAGTGTCTGGAGCTCTAAACGGACACAAGTGACGATTTAAGTACTTCGTTTGTAAATTTGGTTCCTAAATTCAATCGATCTTGGAAGAAAAATGCAGAGTTCATCTCCTTACATCTTTCTTGAGTGCGTCCATGATGAGGGTCTTCAGCTGGCCCAGACTCTCATTGATGCGCGCGCGTCTCCGTTTTTCCATGATTGGTTTGGAGGACTTAAAATATGATGATAATAAAAATAAATGTTGAAATGACAGCTTTCAAGATAGCCTACAATAGCAAATGGCAAGCAGACGATTTTTACTAAACAAACAATTCAAGTAGCCTACCTTTCTGTTCTCTGATAGGGTCCGGGGTTTGTCGGGTGCGGAGTCTCCACTCGGTGTGGCAGCCACAGTGGATGGAGAAGTTCTCTCTAAAGTACCGGCTGGCATCTTTAGGTTAACAAATAGCCTACAAACAGTGCAACAGTCCCAAAAAACACGTTATCAATAACAGAACGACAAATATTCGGCTAATCAAGAGTTAGTCCGGTGCAACGAGTCCCGCCTTCTCCCTGCAGCGCACTTTACTGATGAGAAATGTCAGAAGTGACTTCTGTCTCTTCGCCAAGCTGACATCCACTCCGCTCCTGTTTCCAGCGCCTGGGGTTTTATTTATAGAGACCGAGCCTGCACGCGAGCGGCTCGTGTGCGAGTTCCCCGGGTTTCATCCGTCCGTCCAATGGGCGCGCGGGACACGGTGCCGGGAAGGCGGCGGGCTCGTGCGACAGGGGGCTCCCATTGGCTACCTGTCAGGATGCTGAAACAAATATTCACACTGCTAAGGAAGGCTACAGTTTAAGTGTGAGGAAAAGTGGCTCTGTTGCAGCGAAGCAGGTGTGTTAACTCTCAAAGATAACCAGCGTGTAAAGTTGGCTATAGCCTGTTGGATTCATATAGCCTAATCTGTCAGTAACACCAGTTTAGCTTGAAAGGGAAGTTAAAACAAGCAGCTGCAACAACAAATTAAATTAGTGTTAAATGAATTAGACGATTTGGTTGTTTTTATAGCCTATAAGATCTTAGGCTACATGGACTTGCTCCACCCCCATTATGAATAGACATATTAACTGAAATCAATCAGAAGTGGCAGAAATGTAACCCCTACCAGACGAGACTGTGTATAGGCCTAGGTTACCTTACAGACGCACAACATTTGGAGAAACTGTAGGCTATTGTCAGTTAAGGCTACTGAGATCTGGAACAACTTACCAGCTGCAGTAAGGGAATGACAATGTCATGCAGCTGAGTCTCACCCTGTTAGTCCGACAATATGCAGCACTTCACTGCACTGAAAAGCACTTTTATAGGCTAATTGAATTGCACTTACTTACATAGAATAAATAGCACTTTAAACACCATATCTTAATAAGTTGCACTTTACAATGTGTTTGTATTTGATTTTATTGTGGTGTATTGTATTATTATTTCTATTGGTTTTTGTACTTCTTGTTAGATTGACCTCTGTAATGTAATATCCTGCCAGGGACTAAAGATGAAAATTAGCCTTCTAGCTAAATCTGGCATATTGAATCCTTTTTAACCTAAAGAAAGAAAGAAAATAATCTCTTCGAATGCTGATAATCTAGGATATAGGATGTAATTATTTTAATCGATTCTGTCAGATGCAAATATAAATTTCTGGTTTTAGCTTAATATATACAAAAAGTTGTTATGTTATGTTATGGGCTTCTGTCATTATTTTGTTGAGTGAATTATTATTTACCTGAAACTGAAATAACATTGCATACAAATAGTGGTTTCTCAAATACCACTCATCACAAAAACATACTTTTTGTATTTAAATATAAATAATAAAAGATGTAAATCTAAAGTGTTTTTAATTATCAGGCGTGCAGCACACACAGACGCTGTTCCACATGTATTTTATGTAGTGGCCCACAGTGGCTTTACTCAGGATTTTAGACCACCAACGCTGATAAGGTTCTGGCCACACCTGGCATCTGATGGATGTGGAGGTTATTTAACAATCACATAATGGGGTTTTACATGCAGCCTCAAAGATCAGGTTAACTGTCTCTGCAACAGGACCATTTTAAATGTTTCCCATTAAGTTTTAATTCAGCATTTTTAAAGCTGTCTAGTGAAATAATTTCCATCTAGTTGTACAGGTTCTTTATCTGTGTGTGTGTGTCTCTCTCTTTTGCACACACACACACACACATACACACTTTTTTGGGGGTCAGTGAGTGCTTCAGAGTTTGAGGTGAAGACACAATCCTCTGACACACTCCAGGCCTGATGTCCAGTGAAGAAGAAAATCTCTGACAGACTCAGCTGTCCTCTCACTGCCATGAACTCTAACGTCTCACGTCTGTCATCACAGACCGGGACCAGGAAACAAAGCTAAAGAGTTATTTCAAACCATCTATAGAATGGTAATAATAAAAATGTGTTTATGAAGTTGTTATCTCCAAAATCTTTTAGCTGACATCTGTTTTTGTGATAAATCAGTAGTTGAATTGCCGTTTACAAGTTAAGCTGTTTTTCATTCATCACTGAATTCATCAACAACTAAATTGATTTATTGACTTTTATAAAACAATCTTATATTTTTACAACAATAAAGTAACTTCTTTAATTAAAATGTTTAGGATAGATCATTGATTACGAGACAAAAACAAATCTGAAGTGCACATTCTATGAGATAGAGTCCAACATTAGGAATGTCTGTGTATCTTATATAAAACTGTTGTTACTTTTTTGTCTTAAGGTAACCATGTCACCATTTTAACTGATTTTATACTTTATTAGCTCTTTTTCTTGTCATCAGTTATTGTGGAGAAACATCCCCCAGATTTGTCAAAAAGACATTTATGAGCTTTATTGTATGCATGTTTTACTGTATTGTCTTAGTATTACTCCTCATATATATCAAACGTTTCATTTTGTACATTAATTTATCTTGTCTTATAGAATCAGACATATGTGAGTCAGCAGTGCCACAGACATCATATGATGGTTTCCTACAACAAGATGGAAATTTGTCAAAAGGGTATAGTGAACAGTGTTTAGTTGTTTATAAATGTATGTATAAAAAAAGCTTCTTTTTTTTTTTTACAGTTGTTACTCAAGATTTATTTTTTCATCAAAACAAAAATTTAGAAAATGTTTTTTCAAGTATTATTAATTTGTTGAGATGGAAGGAATAAAAACTTAAAATGAGGCTTCTCTTCGTTTACTTTAAGATTGTGGAATATTTCAAAACAAACACAGAAGGTGCATTTTTTGTCCCTGAGAACGTATTGCACAATAAATAAATTCTGATTGATGATCATTATTGGATGTAGTAGTGTGACAACTGAATGTAAAACCTACCTCCAGCATCTTCATCTATGTATTACAAATTAGACCCTTGCCACTAATAATCTTATTTAATATTAATATCTTTTACCCATTCAAAGCCCACCTTCGGGACAAACGCTGCTTGTTGCAAAGTTTCAGTGGTATATTTATTGATGTGGTATATATATCTGTCTGGTCCAGGTTTATCGTCAGACGCCTCTATCCTCACTGATGGACTTCAAACGCTCTCTGTTAAGCTCCTAAATCCTCAGAGGTGAAATGACCCCAAAAGCCAGGTCACTTTTTGCATCAACAGCTTCCTCACGTGTGAGCAAGACATCTTCAAGCACCACTGGCCTCTTGACCTGAGTCAATATTAAATTAAGTCAAATGAAATCAAGTCAAATCAATCAAGTTTGACCTGTGAGTAATTCCAACATTAGTTGAAGTCAAATTAGTGACCATGAGTGTAGTGAAATCTTAACAGGACAAAATAGCTTATTACATTTTTCCAAGTCAAGATCTGAGCAGGATAAGAGGAGGTGATAGGGATGTGATGGGAAAGTGCTGCAGTTGTATCTGTGGCCTTTTGGAAATATTTTTCTCATAGAAATGTTCACGTTGGGTATTTTTGCTATGCTTAACTAGGAAATGCAGCTCACATTCTCTAAAACAAAAACCTGTTCTGTTTCCAACTAATACACTTCATACACATACACTGACCACCTCAGACTCTTCTCCCCCTCTCCTGGATCACATAAAGTCATCAGTTAATCTTGTAACTGGATGTTTTAACAAGATGCTTCTTTAAAATAGAGGTTCTGCTCACGGCAGATGAGTTGGTTTCTGGAGAGGAGGCCATGTGACAATAAATAACATCCTATCTGTTTTCAGTGAGCCTGCTGCTCAGCCACAAACAACCCTTAATTGTGCGGATCGTGATGTAGACATGAGGTTCACACAGCCCTGATCTGTATCAGTGTGGGAACCCTGTGATGGGAGGATCCAGAGAGTGATGGAAGGGGTAGAAATCTATCAAGGTCCAGCATGTGACTGATAAGGAAACAGGGGCAGGGCGAAAATAGATAAATAAACAATATATATATATATATATATATATATATATATATTTAGGTTTGTTTGGTTTGGTTTGCTGACCACTTTCTGATATATTTACAAAAAATACAATATATCAGACTTTGTCAGAGACAGCATGATAAAAGCCTGGACTTATTTCCATCCTGGTGTTTAGATATGTTAGCAAGAACTAGAAAACTAAATCAAAGGAACAAACAATTGATTCAGAACGCCAACAAGGTGAAAGATGTATTTAAAACCAAATAGGGTTTAAGATGCAAGTAGTGGGTAGATTAAAACGTAACAATAAAATTAAGAATCTCCACAGTCTATAAACGCTAATTGTTTAGCCTTTGCCTTAAAGTCAGGAGGATTTCCTAATGATTAAAGGAAGTCGCTTATTGTGTTTACTGACCAGCAAACACAAACTTACCTTTCTTAGACTGAAATCTATCAAGATTTTGGTTTGCTAAATTGACTTCCTTCTTAAACTACTTTTAAAAGTAGGTGGGAGCACTTCCATGTAAAATCTTAAAACAAAAAATAAAAGTATTTAGTGTTTGTTTAGTTTTTTGTTTTATGCAACTTTATGAGCCAAGTTTGTGTTTCAAAGCTTTTGTAGCGAATATGTGCCACCAACTAACTGCAGGGCGGGAGGCTAACACTTTCAGACCTTTGTAGCCAGATATAATTCCGCCATTAACCTTGCCCAGTGCTTTTTAAAGGCATCACCTCCAAGGTTGTTGTAAAATAATAATAATAATAATAATAATAATAATAATTTATCATTTTGAAGCTATTGGCATTCCCTTGATCTTAACATCCAGTCCTTCCTTGAAGCCTGAATTTTGTTCCAAACCAGACACCGAGTCTTACCTAAGTGTAAAAGAAGCCTATTCTCAGAGAGCCAGGTCCCTTATTTTATTTAACTCATCAACTTTTGTATGTTTGCTTTTGTATCTCTATCAAGCACATGCATATAAAAATAAAGAACCATTTTACATTGGAATTAAAATCTCACATGATTACTTGCAGATAAAAGATACAACTTAATAAACCTTTTTGCAGCAGTTAGAGTTTCTACACACAATGGCCAGTTGCCAGTAGCCACATTCTTCTCTCCATCTTCACCTGGTCTGAAAGCTGTGGCCCCTGCTTTTTCCTCCACCCAGCCACCAACACCACCACCATGTGGGCAGTGAAATGACCATCCTCATCATCAAATACTGCCAAGGTCCCCTTTCAACTGCTGGTGTGAAAACATCTCAGGCCGGGAGGGGAGGACACAGACAGAGGGGATCACTTTAACATCTCATCCAGCGCTCCGCTCGCTCTCAGCCCCTCCTTCTCCCTTTGAATTCCCCCTTAAAGAGGGAAGGGGGGCCCTCCCATAGCAACTACCAGCCCCTGGCTCTGCCCGCCTTTTGTCCCCCTCCCGAACAGCAGTTTCTGCTCCAGAAGCCTTAGACAAGGCCTCCATTAATTGCAGGCCTGTGTGGAATACACGTGGGACAATGGGCCCAACAGAGTGTCCAGCCCCCAGACAAGGCTGGAAACAAGTGGTACAGGAATCCAGCAGAATAGACTCGTCCTGGCTGATGTCACTGAATACATTTACCTACCTCAGAGCGCATTCACTCTGCGCTTTGTTTTATTTGGACAAAAAAAAGAAGGGGTAGGGGGAGGCAGCAGTATCAATGGAGAAGAGGAGCTGGAGGGGAGGGGGGGCTCAAGGATGGGAAATAACTGGTTGTTATGGTGATGTGCTGAATAAAAAATATGGTCGAATTTAGCGGAGGCAGAGATGTAAAAAGGGTTGAGGGCATTAGATTAAACCCTGTGTGAGATAAGAGAAGGCTGAAAACAGAGGTTTAGTTTTTTTAGCGTATTCAGGCCTGTTTATACGGCAATAAAGAGCGGATAAAGGAGCGGGAGATTAGCAGACTCATCTAGGCTCATGTTTGTCAACAACAACCTGAGTAGTTTCAAGTCAGCTTATTCCAAGTCAGTACACCAGCAGAGAGGATGCTTAGCTATGGCAAGTGAAGCTGCGGAGGAGAAGCGGGACCATAGCAACTGGTATTTCAGCATAACAACCTGCCATCTGTCACCTAACGTGGTGGGTTCTTTCTTTTAAAAAAAAGCCAGCATTTAGATCTTCAACTTAGAGGCAAAGGCAATGAGACTGAAGTCTTATTGAACTCTGGGTCTCCCCCTTTGAAAAGGGAACCCAGTCATCGCCTTATCCCTCATCAAATTGAAAAACGCTTTTAGAGATTCTAAGAGAGGCCTCACATTTAATTTTTAAAACCCAGACATGAAAGTGTTCCTAAACCACATTCAGCAGTGGAAACTCTTTAAAGGACTAGTTAGCATGTAGATTATATGCATCTCAGAGCATTGTCAAAGTATCTAAGTGTATTTACATGTTAATATGTTCAGGGATACTATCGTCTTGAAAAGGTGTTGGGGGGAGGTTGGTTAACCATGTATTTTCTCTCTATGGACCATGGGAATGTGATTTCTTTGTTCCATCAAGGTTCAAACACATTCCTGTAAGGCCATGGATATTATGAGCATTGATTCCCTGAAGCAAAACAACCTATGAACCTGTTGATCCAGGATACAAAACGGGGCTCTTGTCCGTAGATATACTGTAAAGTTGACACCTAGCGGTTACAGTAGATCTTTTTATTTCTGATGAGTTAAATATCGTAGAATTGGTTGTTTTATATCAGCGCCTAGCCAAAAAGCTTCACTAAAGAGCCCCGCTGATGCACTGGCATGTGGTACTTATCCTTATCCAAGCTTAGTCCATATCCATGAGTGTGTTTGCATTGGGATTTATGAATGTGAAGATGGGCCATTCTTGCCACTCAAGATGACTCACAAGACCAGCGTTTTGGCCACTTACGCTGTGAAAGCCGCCTCGGGGATGCCCTTTCAGCACTCGAGGACCTCTGGCTGAGTCCCCTTCACACGGGAGATCAGCCTCACTTGGGAAAAAGTCCCTGCTCTTTGCAGGGGGAGCTGTCCTGAGGGATGGTGCAGTTCTTGTCCCAGGGCCTCCCTTCTTCACCTGCCGGCTTAGTGCTCATCACTTATGCACATAATCCCTGGTTAGTGCATGTGATCCACCAGCCTGGGCCCAGGCCCCTGGCCCCCGAGCCTCCCCTGCTCACATGCTTGCTGGGTGGCTCCTGGGTGGCCATGGCAACTCTCATCTTCTCATGACAGTTAGGCTTCAGTCATGGCTCTAAGTCCCTCTTCAGTCTCTGTGCGTCTTTTTCTGTCCGCTGCTTTCTGTCTCCTAAAGCCCTCCTCTGTTTGTGTGTTGTTCTATCTATGGCTCTCTGTGTCTCTTTTCTCTCGGTGTGGCTGTTCCCAGACTTTGGCCCAGCTGAGGCAGAGAAACAGGCTATAACTCAGCACCAGTGTGGCACCTTCAGGGGCCACACTGGTGCATTAATGCTAATCTAGTATAAATTAAAAGACTGCGTTTACCATCACTGCAGATTGTGGACCAAATGAAGGCCTGACCTCATTTTATTGTGAGTCTGATCTGTAAACGGAGATTGTAAGATACACTTGTGCACTTCTTTTCAGTGTGGTCACTCCAGGCCTCTGAGTGCGGATCATCTTACCCTGACGCAAACCCTTCAGCCTCAACCATTAGTTTCTTTAAAGTGCTGAATATCGCACAGGGCCCTCAGGGAGAGCAAGAGAGGCGACCCGGCAATCTTGTGAGGCCCCACACTAACAAGCATCACAGTGATCCGGGCCGGTCCTCCCCCTGTGTGAAAGCCATGTGAGAGGCGGCTCCATCCATGCCCCAGCCA